AAGTGCTACAGCCAACCGGGGGGGAACCGGCCCGGTTGACCGGCCGGTAGGACCGGTCTGGTTCTGGTTGGGGGAGGACCCCCCGGTCCTACCGGGTTTTTAGCACTGTTATGTATGGCCGTTTGGTGATCACAGGCATTTTTTCAGGACCCGAAAATGCTGGTGGGACTGGTTCAAGTGACACTTAAACGGTCTTTAGCATTTTGCTGGCTGAAAATACTTGGGAGGAGTGGGGTATTTTTTATTTATTCTGGGAGGAGTGCATGGAACCAGGGTGGGCTGTGAGCTTCACTCGACTACTCTCGACATGCACAAAAGACAAAAAATATGTTGGTGTATTTTTCCATGTTCTAGCGGAAGATGCATTATCAGTTTGCAAGTTTGGTGAGTAGTGGAGCGAGACTGTGTATCTACTTCAAGATCTTTCAAGATCTTTATGCATTTGCCGGGGTGTAACAGGATTGTCGAACTTGTCAGTGTACCTGTGCATGCCAGCAGAATGGCCAGGGCATCAGTGTTGCATACCTCGACGGTCGGCGCCCCTTGACTGGTCGGCTGGTTATCACCTACCGGTTGGGGGTCAGCGGCACCCCGCAATTTTGTTTTGCTTCTTGGGGGGGGGGGGGTCTAGAACCCCCAATAACCTCACCAACACCCCCATACAACCCTCCATAACACCCCCAAACCGCCCCCCAGCACCCTCACACCCGCTCCCAATACCCCATGCACCACCCTTATATTCCCCTCCCCCCCCGCAATGAATTGCAGTGCTACAAGCGGGCTGTATACTAGTTTCGTCCCTGTCGTCGTTGCCGGGATTTGATCCCGCAACCTTGGTTGCTGTATTGCCTGTTCGTTTGTGGTTTGTGTGGTTTGAACCTTTTGGGACTTGATCCCGTGACCTGTAACCTGTGTGTTTTGTTTGTGAGTGTTATGCCCTATGGGGCTTGATCCCTGCGTCCCGCACTAGTAGTCTCTGTTTGGTAGTCCTAGGCCATTTGGCCTGTTTCTTTTGTTTTGTCATAGGTCCAGGCCCCTCTTCCCCTGTTTCCATCTAGATACAGATAGATCGTAGGTTGTTGCTTTGGGGAGAGGCCGTCATAGGTCTAGGCGGAGAGCAGAAGTAGTGGGCAGGAAAATTGGTGCGGGTCTTTTTGGATTTTTCGTTGACTGGGGAAACTCTGCCCGTCCGTTGTTGGAGCGCTGCTGCACTATTTTGGGCGAGGTCATCTTCTTCTTCGCAGCCCAGCCATAGCTGGGGTTGGGGAAAGGACGTTGAAGACTGTACTGCTGCTGTTTTGCAGCCTTGCATGAGAGCTTCCACAGGACTGTGTTGTTGGTTTTGGGCGCCTCCACTTTCCACGTGGCAGCCATATCTGCTGTTCCTCCTCATGAGGAATCCATCTTCTTCGAAGTGTTGGGACTGTTGTCTCCTTATTCATCAGGACTTCCAGCGCTGCACGTCCGTGCGGGCGCTGAGCTGGCGCGGTTATCATCAGGTTTGCTGGTTCAGATTGGCACGTTGTGACAGCTGCGCGGTTACTGCTGCTACGGCAGCCATAGCCTGGGATATGAGGTGGCGAGGAGAAAGAAGAAGACTCCTGTATATTTCGTTGATCACTTGTTTCTGGTTGTTCGAGGTTGTTGTAACGCGGTTGTGATTCTTGGAACAAGTACTCTGGATTGATTGGAGGAGGACGAGGGATTGCAGAATTGGAATTCGTTTTTCAATTCTCTCAGTGTGTATTTTGAGCTTCCGCTGTGCATATCTTCTCTCCGGTTTTGTGTGGATTTACCTCCTTCGACTTGCTGGCTTCTGGTCGTTTGTAGCCTCTCTCTTGTCGAGGCTGTACCATGTGTAGGTTAGATTCGTTGTTTTGTTTGGCTGAGGGCTAACCGAGAGACCTGCCTGTAAGGAAAATTCGTGAGGGACATATCTGTAAATTAGGGAAAATACAGGCCTGTACTAACTGAATTTCCTACAGCTACCGTAACTGCGAATAGCAGACCCGGGCTACCCCTAGGACAGACAGGCCCTAAGAGCCTAAGCTAATAGACGGTCCTATAGCCTATAGCCGGGTTAGGAGAGGCCCGAGAAGCCGAAACAGAAACGGTACCGGTCGGTCAGTCAGTCAGGTCTAGGAGTCTAGGCTAGAGTAGACGATAGATAGGTTAGGCACATCGGTTCCGGGCTTTTGGCGGCCGGTACCGAGTACATTGCTGCTGCGCAATGCGTGAACTGGAAGTGGTGACGGCTCAGCGTTGAGTGAGACAGACATAGCCAGATCTTCCGAGCGCTGGCCATAGCTGGGACCTGCGCTGTACTCTGTCAGCACGTGGGGCTGCCCAGAGGTCTGGGCTATTCGAGGTCTGCTGGAGGCGAGAGAAGTTGGTGCCCTGCTGGACCCTTCTCCGGAGTAGGGTCACAGGGTAGTGGCGCTGCAGCCATAGCTGCAGCTTCTTCCTCAGAGATCATCTTGTCAGGAGTGGTGGCGCTGCTGCAGACTTCCACCCGGGAAGTCTTCCGACAATTCGTCATCATCAGATACTGTGGCGTTGGTCTTCTTCTTCATCCTCTGAGTGGCCCTTGGCCTCGGAGGCCTGTTTCAGGGTGGCGCTTCCCTCTGGAAGCTGTACATGGGTGGCACTTGATGTTTGAGGGACTCAGGGGTGGTGATAGCGGTTCGTCAGGGTTGGGGAGTGAAGCGCTGCTCATTTCTGAGCAGCGCACCATAGTTCTGGGGATTATTCTGACAATTCGTGACTCTGAGTTTAATAAACAGTATTGATACTGTGTCCAGACTATCATCGTTTCATTGTTTCCTGGATGTGATCTACTCGGCTTTCCTT